GACCTAGTGACGCCGCGTAACTAATCGCCCCTTTGCCGGAGAGCGGAGCGCGCTGAGCAGGTGAAAGGATTTGGACCGGGTCAGTGGGTAGACGGGGCCTCGTCCTGGCCTTGGCGTGGTCTCTTGTTCTGCAGGCTTGGCCTGTGCGTGATGGCGGCGGCGTTGGGGGGCTGCCGGCCCCCTGGGGGCCGCGGGCTCTGCCTTCACCAGCACCTCCCGCTCCTAGGAGGACCAGCCCATCTACATGGCCGTGAAGGGGGTGGTGTTCGACGTCACTTCTGGAAAGGGTGAGCAGCTCGCGCGGAGAATGCTTGTTCTCGGGGTGCTGGGGCCAGAGTGGGCTCTGGAGGTGGAGGAAGGTGAGGGGCCCGCCCTTCTCGGCCTGCCCGTGTCACGCTGGGCTCCAGAGCTCCCCTGCTGCCCACGGCCACCTGATGGCTCCCACTGGGTGGAGCAGCGAGGGCCAGGGTTGCTTGGTGGAACTGGGGAGCGCGGAATATGCTAGAAAACTTGAGTGCCGCTCTAGGGTACAAGCGATGTCCTGGGGGGTCCTTGTGACCTCAAACACAGTTGTCAGGAAGCCCAAACCCCGCCCCCTCCCCACCAGACGGGCCCTGCCCCCCCGGCCGGGGGTGGGGGGTGTGTGTCACACTCGCACCTCCTTCTCCCCGCTGCAGAGTTTTACGGACGAGGAGCCCCCTACAACGCCTTGGCGGGGAAGGACTCCACCAGAGGGGTGGCCAAGATGTCCCTGGACCCTGCAGACCTCACGCACGACACTGTGAGCCTGCTGGAACCCCACCCCCGGGCCGCACCCGACTGGCCCAGCTCCCCATGACGGGAGTGGGGGAGCAGGGTCACCCCACACTCACTTTACCATGAGGGCGAAATCAGTACGAACAGAACGATTTCAGGGTCCGGGCGCTGTCGGGCGAAGGCTGGCGGTCACCCCAGCTGAGCACCAAGCGTCAGACTTAAGACAGAGGCAGCGGGAGTTGAGCGTTGGAGGGGGGAGGGTGCGATGTGCAGTGGGCGGTGCAGGGGATTTCATGGGGTCATCGGGAAAGGGGGTGCGCCCCCTCTCGCCCCAGGACGGGTCATCTCTTTCAAAGACCATTGTCACTCTGCCCGGGAGTTCATTTTCCTCTCCGCGCCGCCTGGGTGGGCCGTGAGGCGGGGTGGGGCGAGGCACCCCGCTGGCCAGCCCCTCCCACCCACACTCGGGCTTTCTCCCAGACGGGCCTCACGGCCGAGGAGCAGCGGGCCCTGGACCACGTCTTCACCAGCGTCTACAAAGCCAAGTACCCCATCGTGGGCTACACGGCCCGGCGGATTCTCAACGCGGACGGCAGCCCCAACCTGGACTTCAAGCCAGAGGACCAGCCCCACTTCGATCTCAAGGACGAGTTCTGAGGTTCTGGGCCCCCCGATCGAATAAAACCACCCAGCCATTCCCGCGGTAACGGCCGCCTTCCTTGCCCTCCGCCTGGGAGGGGTCCCGGGGCGCCAGTGCCCAAGCACCACGCGGTACCCCAGCTGCTGGGCTTCTCCCCCAGTCCACCTTCTCTCTAGGGCAGTGGGGTTCTGGGGTCCCCGGGGGGCCTAAGGGGAGCAGTGGGGATGGGAAGAGGAGGTGACCTCAGGTCTGCAGGAGAGGGGCCGAGGAGGGGCCGGGGCCTCTGGCTGCCACCCGCCTGCAGCTGGGGTGCGGGGAGGCGGCTGGCAGGGCCTGCCGGGAGGTCCCCTGGGCTGGACCCAGGTCAGGCCTTTGGAGGGGGCTGCTTCCCTTTGAGGGGCCTTCGGCAATTTCTGGAAACATTTTTTAAGTTATTTGTGGCAGCTGCAGGCTGTCTCCACGTCCTGGGGCCTGCCACCCTCCTGCCACTCTCTGCGTCCTGGGGCCTGCACAGCCCCCCACAACGGAGAATTCTCGGGGCCCAGCCTTGCATACCGGGGCTGACCCTGGCAGCTTCACAGGAAGGACATTCCTTTGCAAGAAGCGGTGGCTTTTAGAAAAACAAACAGCCGCTTCCACCAGAGAGTTTCTGCCTGCTCAGTGCCGGGGGAGGGGGGGCTGCCCCGCCCCCCAAGGCTTCCAGCACGTGACCTGCAGACCTGGCCTGGGTGAGCCCAGCAGGCCGGAAGCAGAGCCCCGGAAACCGGGCCTGCGGGGCGGGTGAACATGCCAGGGCTCCCAGACGGGCAGTGATGCCAGTCCCCAGGCTGCCGCCGCCCTGCCCCACCCCCTGCGCGGTGGGGCCGGGGTCACCGGCCCCGTGCGGCCCCGTCTGTCCACCCCGCTCGAGTGCCAGATGGCCCCTGTGCTCAGCTCCCTCTCGGCTCCTCGGCCCAGCCGCCTCCGTCTCGGCACTGGCCACCAGCAAGGAACCCGTGTCCC